ATTGCATGTTTGGACTAATTTTCAATTAGTACTTTGTAAATCCTCTTCTGATAGAAATAATAGTTTCCAAATGTTTCTGTGCGTAGTTAGCAGACTACTGTTGCTGTTTAATTCCCCTACTCCACTTCCTTATAGAACTTTTCTTTCTTAGTAATAACCTTAGGTCTCCTTGTACGCACTTCACATTTGAAATATTCCCATAGATTCTCAATAATATCCAAATCTAGGAATTTTAAAGGTCATTCCTTGTAGCTTCAATTTTTTCACTGATTATAGGACATTAACTTCCAGGATGTATTGATATTGAATGGAATCCATTCTTCTGCCAACCCACACAAGTATTTTCTGTGGCACAGTGCCATTAATAGAGCCACCCCCATGCTTAACAGGATGTTCTCTTCCTTAAATGCTTCGTCCCTTTTTTCTCCAAATATATCTCTTGTGATCATGGTGAAATAATTCTGTTCCTGTTTCATCACTCCAAAAAACATTGTTCCCAATTGTTTCAGGCTTATCAAGGTCTCCCCCACCCTCCCTTTAGTTAATACTTTTCTGATGAAGGTTTCCTTCACACAACTTTCTGGTGAAGATCACTGCGATATAAACAATGCTTTACTGTGGACCTATGGACAACTCTTCATTATCAGCTAATCTTTTCAATAAGCTATTTGGGTTGATCTTTTTGCAGATCTGGGAAAGATTTTAAATTTCTTGGCTCTCAACCTAATGTTGAATATTTCAGCAAGATAATAGTCCTTAATACAATCACCTTCGGTATCAGGTACTTAAGAGGAGGAAAAAGATTTTTGAATGTATAATAACTTGTTCTAAAAATTGGCCTGCAGCTATATCTGATTGACCACAGTGAGATCCCCAGGCAGCTTGTGAAAGTAATCTTCTCAAAAGAACATTTCTGCATTGAGTATTGGAGAAGAGGCTGGCAGCTATCTCCAAGGAGAACCGAACTGCCAGCTGCTAATCTATGATTCAGAATACCAATAGACTGAATCCCAAACGTCAGCATCCCATGCATTTCAAAGATAACATCTGTTTTAGTTACTGCAAAACACGCTACTGGAAGCCTTTAGAAAAATAACATAAAATCAGAATAATTTACTTAGACTGTCATAGTTTAAGTAATCTACTCGTGGAGGATTTTCTGACTTCCGTTTCACATTATATTGTATAACATGTAATTTTATGCTGAATATTTAAAACTTGACAGGATTTAAAATACATTTCCTCAATGTATACATACAGTATGTATACAGACCATGGTTAATTATTACATCATTCCTTCTAAAATCTGCCAATAGAAGTATCTCTAGTTTCTTCCTATGGATGTAAGAGATTATATCTCCCTCAATTCACCAAACCACATACATTCTGCAAAAGTAGGGTTTGTTTATCTTCTAGACATTATGCCATATGCTATAAGAGGGGAAAAAATAAGTTTTCTATGTATTTTACTGATTTTTCTATGAATTGTACAGTTCAGAAATCATGTTGTTTCCCTATCTTAGCAGTAATATTTTTAAATATAATATAAGCAACTTGAACTTTCAAAGTAATAAATTATAAAAAATAATTATCACTCCAGTTAATAAGGCAAATTCAAAGAACGCTTCTCCTGGTGAGCCATCAGCTGCAATAAAATTGCATTATTTTAACATTCAAAAAGTTGCAATATAAAGATAATAGTAACAGGTTTCTGTACTTACTCCCAAGCAGCAAATGTATGATGCATTGTGATAGGTAGCTAATGGACAACTGTTTAAATCATATCATCTACTGTTCTAGAATTTCCCTGAATATTACTTTATAACTTGTATTAAAACAAATTTTCATTTCACCTGTAATTCATTTTCATGATGCACTGCTTTAATTCAAAAGCATCTAGTAACAAATACTACATTTATATATCTCTTATTGAAGTTTTCTGTTAGTCATATATATTACTTATTCAAAAATAAAGTTTATTTCTCTCATTGTGCCTGATGTTATCAAAATATTCTTTTTAAAATCAGAAACTGTTGCACAGTCTGTTGGCAACACAATGATTACTTATAGGTAGTCCTCAACTTACAATTAATTTAGTGACCATTTGACCATTTGACCATTTGACCAATGGCACTGCAAAAAGTGACTTATTACCGTTTATCACACTTATGACTATTGCAGCATCTCCATGGTCACATGATCAAAATTCAGATGCCTGGCAACTGACTGATATTTATGAGAATTGCAGTGTCCAGGGGTCACGTGATCAACCTTTGTGACCATCTGATAAGCAAAATCAATGGAAAAGTCACATTCACTTAACAACCATGTGACTAACTTAAAACTTAACAACTGTGGCAAAGCAAAGTTGTAAAATGGAGCAAAATTAATTTCACACCTGTCTCACTTATTAAAAGAGATTTTGGGCTTAATTTTAGTCATAAATTGAGGACTATTTGTACTTGGTATTGTGTCTCACTGAGCAATCATGGTATGACACAACTTTAAATCATTAATGTTTTTTTTTAGTTTGTGGCACAGTTTCTCAATAAAAGCAAATACCAGTATTTGTAGTTATTCAAATTGTGAAGACAAAATTCATACCCGTTTAAGAAAAGGCCAAATCTTCCAATAATCTATATTCTGTTTAAATAAAAGTTTTCTAATTTTTTGCAATAAATCTTATTCTGAAAGAATCTAACTGAAACGTTGGCATGAGCAATTTTTATGTTTTGACTCCTACAGTTTTTAAAATATGAAAGCCAATGAAGTACAACTGACCATTTAAAAATACTTATTTTTACTAATGCAAGCTAGAAAAGAACTAAATCACTGTATATTTGATTACTCCTGTGATAGTAGTACTTCAAAACTTCTGTTTATTATCCAGCGACACATACCTGGTGATTTTGAAGAGTTTCTCCTAAAGCATCAAAACAATTATTTTCACTTTAATCCAGAGAGAAACAAAACCTTAGGATGTTTCAGGATTTATAGGAAGCTTTGTGTTGCAGAGAAAAGAAATGCTAAGAGCTTGAAGAAAATATTGCTATATGATTCTCCACATGCTATAAAACTCGTCATGGTCTTTAAATGAGCAAAACACTGCATCTTAGGCAGCAGTGGGTTTCACATTTTGTTACCACTGGTTCGCCGTGCATGCGCCCACTCGCTTGCACAGGCACCTGGCCTTCCATGCATGTGCTTTGTGCACGCGTGTGCCTTCCACACATGCGTCTAGCCTCAAAAATGGTTTGGGTAAATTGGTCCGAATCGGATGAATATCATCTCTGATTGGAGGGCAACATTTTTGAACTCAGGAATGTATCCAAAATCCCTTGGCTCCTGGAAGAATGAAAATTGGGGAAGCTGTGGTTGCTTCAGGGCTGCTGCTATGCTGCTGGGCTTGGCATGCGATCCCCCAGCTGTAATTTATTTATAATCTTTATCTTCATGTTGACTATTTTTATTTATTTGCTTTTACTATTTGTAAAACATATAGCATTTGTTACCAGCTATTTTTTTAAGAAAAACAAGCCTTTGGAAGTTCAGCAAAAACACATTGGTTATTATTTTTTCATGAATTATAGAAAGAGCAGAAGGATTCCGGATAAAAATCTTCTTCTGTCACGAATTTAAAGGGCTTTCGCCGTGAGCAGAAAAACATCTTTCAATCCTGTGGAAGGAAAGCCTTGCAGTGACCAGCAGGACTGAAAGGCACTGCCCCACATCTGGACTCCAATTATAAAAAGGAAAGCTGCAAGCTCCAGAGTGTGGGTGTGTAAGTGCATTTGGAAAAAAGATGTATTTTGTGTGGGAAGAGAAGGAATGAATTTTCAGCTGAGGGAGTGGAGTCATCAACTTCAACAGGCAGCTAATGATAGAGGAGGAGCAAGCTTGGACCAGCAGCAGAGAAATTGAAAGGAGAAGCACAGCCCAGAAACTTCACTGCTCCAGCAGAAATGCTGAAAAGCTTCAGCCAGCTGGCTGCTGGTGAAGTACCTTTTTCTCACTGCCAGCATAGACTGAGAAACTGCCAAGTCAGTCTTTCAGCAGCAGTTTAGAACAACAGCTGACAGCAAAAAAAAAAAAAAAGCCAATTTGAAAGTGGTTAAATGGTGGCTAGAGATTTTGACTTAAGCTCAAGCAATAAAAGACAATAGAATTGTTATAAAGTGTTTGGGAATAAGATATAGACAATATAAATATAGGATAATATATCAAAGATCAGTAATAAGTGTCAAGGTACAAATTTAAAAAATTAATTTATTAAATTTTAGATAATAAAAATCTGCTTGTTGCTCTATTGATCATTTCTCAAAAGAATTTGTTTAAACTCATGTATATCGTGGCTGATTAGTAATGGGCTGAATCAGTAGCTGGCCTGTAAAATCTACCAATTTGCATTCAGGAACAAATCAAGCACCATCACACTTGGATACACATATTTCACACAGTATCATCTGGTCTCTGGCTGCTTTCTGGTGTTATTTATATAGCAAGGTTCAATTCAACTTTGAAAAATAAAACAATCCAATACTGGGCCAATCCATTTATACCGTCCCCAAATTTTCAGATGTATTTGTTTTGGCTTGATTGGAACATTTTTCTTGCACAACTGCTTATATGTTGGAATAGTTACTGTTATCTTTTAAATCAAAGGTTCAAGCATTTTGAGGACCATACAAAATTTGCTATATTTTAAAATTTATATCTGTACATTTCCTCTGGCATTCTTTTAATTTGATAATCTAGTGTTGTTGTTATTTTTAAATCTACCTTTATGTGCCAGTTATTACACTAAAACTGTTAAATTAGTGCAAATTGATTGTGAAACAGTATTGCTGGCCTCATCTTACATCAGTCTTATTCTGAAACAAAAAACAATGTAAAGTGCAGAATTCATGAATGAGGCACGTGCAAATTTACAAGAATTGTTGTTTTTAATATTTATTGAATAAACATGCATTTATATAAGATATAAGTAGGGTAAAACTCACCCAAAACAAGTAACTCCACTGAATCCTCATTCTTGCCTTCTACATCATCAGGTGTGATAACGAGGCAATAATACAATCCACTGTCTCCCCACATCAATTTTCCAATGTGGAGGTCTGCATCTAACACAAAATATAAAACAAGCAAGAATCAAAAAGAGAGACAGAGAGAGGTACCTAATACCTAGATGCTATTGACAACATTAATTTTTCTTATCTGGAGTGATGAAATTTAATTCATTAAAAATACCACCAGAAAAATCAAGGACTCTTCAGAGAGCAAGAGAATTACAGTAAGTTTTTTTGAACCTGGGATTGTCACACAAGGTTTTTTTAATTATTTGGTTTCACGGGGACCTTTGAGCTGATATAATTATTGCATAACTGTGGTGGTGCGGTGGTTAGAATGAAGTACTGCAGGCTAACTCACTGCTCACGCCAGGAGTTCGATTCTGAACGGCTCAAGGTTGACTCAACCTTCCATCCTTCCAAGGCCAGTAAAATGAGGAGCCAGATTGTCAGGGGCAATGTGCTGACTCTCTAAACTGCTTAGAGAGGACTGTAAAGCACCATGAAGTAGTGTATAAGTCTAAGTGTTATTGCTAGTGATATTATTGAGTAGTCAATTATAATTGTTCACAACCATTTTAGCAAGAAGTTATTAATGAGGGTCAATGTGGGGTTTTACCTAACAGAATAAGTAAATGGCAATGTTAGAAATGTTTTGGACATATTGGAATATTTGAAGCAACATAATGAAAAACAAGCTGCATTTTCCTAGATGCAGAGAAAGCCTTTGACAATTTAAGTTGGGCTTTCTTTCAAGATTTTGGAAGATAGAGAATTTTGGCAAGAACTTTATAAAATAAGAAAGATTGATTTCTTTCTTATAGGTAGGTCCATTGCAACTTCAAACAGTTGCTAAGCAACCAATCACTAAGTCAGGACTATCATGCAGAAAGTTATCTAGCAAGTTATAATTGTACTTAAAACTTGCTAGATTGTATTTTTTTTCCATTTTTATTTTACTTTTTACCCCTTTCTCGTGCTATTAGCTTTCTTTTTGACTTCTTACACTCTGTTAAGACACAAATATCACCTAGCAGATGTAACTCAATGGCAGTATTTATAGCTACAACACTTATAGCTATCAACATTCTTTGTACCCATAACATTTTCAGCTTCTGAGACCCCAAAATACTAGAACTGATTAAATCTTTTAAAACTAAAATAATTAGTTTTTATAGATGTTTGTTATCAATAAATCTATATGATATATAGAAGTTAAGAGATGAGTGTAGTAAAGAATTACAAGTTTATTTTTTAAACTCTTTGATAAAATGATACAGAAAGTTTAAATGATTTTGCTAAAACACAAGGATTTACTTTATTACATTGCGTCAGGAAATACATGAGCAATTTGAGATTAACGGTACAGTTAGTCCTGGACTTACGACCATAATTGAGTCCAGAATTTATGTTGCTAAGTGAGAAATTTGTTAAGTGTGTTTTTACAACTTTTACAACTTTTCTTGCTATATTTATTAAGTGAATCACTGCGGTTGTTAAATTTGTAACATGGTTGTTAAATGAATCTGGTTTCCCCACCAACTTTGTTTGTCAAAAGATCACAAAATATGGTCACATGAGCCCAGGCATTGTGACTGTAATAAATATGAAGCAGTTGTCAAGCATCTGAATGTAAATCATGTGACCATGAGGATGCTTCAAGAGTCATAAGTGTGAAAAATGGCCAAAGTCATTTTTTCAGTGACTTTGAATGGTCATTAAACAAACTGTTATAAGTCAAGGACTACCTGTATAAAAAGAAACTATAGCCTTTTTTTCAAATCATATTAATTTCAGAAAAAAAATTGGGCAGAGACTACAGGAAAAAATAAATAACAGTAATTTTTGCACCAGAAATTTGAATTAGACATCTAAATCTGATGCATTTCAATACTATATTGGAAAAAAAATATTTATTCAAAGTTATTACAGGATTATCCAGTGGAGGTCTGCTAAATCTTACAAGGCTGGAATTTTCCAACCCTAAAATCTCACACTGAAAATCATTCCACAGTCAGAACAGCCTGTTTCAGGGTGGGACACTTATAGTAACATTGGAACAGCTTGTTCCAATGTAGAAATACTTGGTGAGAGTAAATGAAACATTTCCTGAGAGAGTTTTGGGGGGGGGGGTGTTTTTCTTTGCAGGATGAGGACATTTCAACCTTTAACACACAAAAGGTTGTGCTATAACAACATGAAATTACAGAATAAGAGCATTACTGTATTATTATCAGATCAGGAACCAACGTGACTTAATTTAAAACATTTATAAATCTAGGAATTTAATAAGTAATTCACACTCAATGTATTTATTATTA